GCAATATTTCTTACATGCTCACAGCAGCATGTTGTGGATGTATTGGCAGTAGCAAGTCTCGGTACTTGCTCTTGCCGCAGCAGCAGCGTAGCTGATCTATTCAGCCAAGACCAAATACATTAACATTGTCATATCCATCACCATGCTAAAATCTTCCAAGATTTGTCATGATTGAAATATCATAATGTGTGTTCCGAAGATAAACAACGGTCTTACGGGTTTGGAACGACATGAGGGTGAGTAATTAATAACAGAATTTTCATTTTTGGGTGAACTATCCCTTTAATAATGTCAAATTAAAAGTTTTACTTAAAAAACTAAAATAAAATAAAAATAAATAAATATATATATATATATATATCTTTTAAAAATAATTTTTAATGATCTTTTCTCATGCTTTAAAGAACCATAATATGTATTTATTTCAGTTTACCATAAATATTAATTTACCATAAATGCTTGTCAGTACATATGATAATGCACTTCAACGACAATAGAAGTAATTATGAAATTACATAGAAATATGTACTTAACTTCTAGTTGGTCAAATGCTAACTAAATGCATTTAATATAAATTTAAACTATAATACGTTCATTTAATTTTAAATACCATACGATGAATGTACTGTTGTCTGACAACAGTACATTCAGACAATCAGTGTTGCAATGGCATCATTATTCAGTGTTACATGGCATTTATTTATTTAACTCAAAACAAAAACAACAATAAAATGAAAGATGGTAGCATGGAAGTTGTATACTTCAAGGGCAGCATGAGCCAGCCGAGCAAATGCCTTTGATATAATACCAGCAAAGCTTTCTCAGGCTGGATATTGGGTGTGTAGTTTGAAGTTAACAAACAGCACCTTACAGTCACTTACAGAAAACAAAACTATAAGTAACTGGGGTTTTTAATCAGTATTTGGATGACTTTTTGATGTAAATTTTAACCTGGTCTAAACCCTAGTGAAAAAATACATATACTAAAATGTATTTGAAATACATTTATTTCATGCTAAGCATACTACAAATACATTTACATATTTATGTACTTAATAAAAATACCCTGCAACTGTACTTTTAGTATACTAAACTGGTATATTAAAATTCTGCTAATTGGAACAACTAACTTTGTAGTTACAGTTTTTTCCAATTGCTAACATCCTTTTGTCCAAACCTGTAGTCACATTTTCAAAACTCTATACACAATTAGCACAACATCAGTCTGTTGTGACCATACCATTAACACAATTCATGTTGTTTTCACACAATATTCAGTAAATTAACACGTTTATAAAATGCTTAAATTGTATTTTCACACAAGCTTACCCCATACCAAAATCATAGATCTTTCTTAGCATTTTTACAAATGCTTAAACACAGCATGACAGAAATGAAGACCTAATGTTCCAAACTTTAAATATAGTGTAAAGCCTCTACTTCTGCAACAACAGCAGCTCAAAAGTATTGAAAAAATATCTCTATATAAAATATTGCAACAACTGAAAAGCATTTTTAAGTAACAGATCGCTGAAATATTTAGAAACAGCTGATTCCAGTCTCAGTTGGAGGAATAGTCAGGTGTTAATGCTCTTTCCATTGCATCAACATAGAGTAAAAAAACCCTATTTGAATTGGTTTTATGGATGCAGAACAACACAAAGAATCAGAGAGAGAGAGAGAAAATAATGCCTGGGAGAGGGAGAGGAATAGTTGTAGGAGGGAGAGGAGTAGTTGGATCAGAAAAAGGGAGAAGAAGAAGTAG